AGTTGTGCCGCATTTGTTCATTTACTTGGTTCTAGTAGGGATAAAATTTCCCCCTATTTGATCAAGTGTGTCTTTTTGGATATTCTCGTATTCAGAACGGTTATTGATGTTATGACCCAAGTTCTCACCGATACTATGTCAGTGCCGATGTTACCAACTTCATTGAGTCATTTTCTTTCTTTCCTACTTCAGAACAAAATTCTTTTCCTGATTTGGTTTCTTCTAGTCAGGGGAAGCTGTTAGTACCTAGTATACCAGATTGTATACTTTCTTCTTCATATACTGACCCCCACTGCAGGTTTATTAGCATAGCAAGAACATACAGGTTATGCCTTATGCTCCCACTCCACAGTCGTCATCTGATTGAACTAAGGTCCTTCCTTTTGAGCCTTCTACCACTCCTTTGTCTATTGCATTGAGGAAAGGTACTCGTAACTGTACCAAGCTTCTCATTTATAATTTTATTTCCTTGCATTGACTTTCCTTATCATTTTGTTGTTTTGCTTGTACCTAATTATCTGTGGTTGTTCTTAATTTTTTGACATAGGCTTTGGCATTTTCTAGATGGAAGTTAGGTATGAATGAGGAAATGAAAGGTTTTCATAAGAATCAGACTTGGGATCTCACTTCACTCCGTCATGGGAAGTATCTTGTTAGTTGTCGTTCGGTCTACACAGCGAAGTATCTTCCTGATGGCTATGTCGAGCGTTTAAAGGCTTGGTTGGTTGCCAAAGGATAGATCTAGACATATAGTGTCGATTACTGAGACCTTTTCCCCTGCTACTCGACTTAAATCTGTTAGAGTTCTTGCTTTGGTTGTAGCCCATCTTGATTGGCCCTTATACCAGCTAGACATAAATAATGTTTTTTACATGGAGATTTATAGGATGAGGTATACATGGTTCAGCCTTCAAGTTATGTCACTTTTGGTAAGGAACATTTAGTATGTCACCTGAAGAAAGCATTATCTAGTCTTAAACAATCACCATGTATTTGGTTAGTAATGTGGTTCTTCAATATGGTTTTTAGCACTCTATTTCAGATCATTCAGTGTTTATTCGTTGTTCTACCTAAGAAGTTTATAATTCTCATTGTATATGTTGATGACATTATCATTAGTGGTGATGATTCTGATAGTATTGTTAATTTTAAGTTTCTTTTGGGGAAGCAGTTTTATACTAAAGATTAGGGTCTTCTCTGGTATTTTCTTGGATTGAGATTTTTCGATCACATGAAGGTTAATTTATGCCAATGAAAGTATGTGTTGGATTTACTCTTTGGAACTAGTACACGCATGGTTCTCATCCGGTTGATACCCCCATGGATTTAACAGTCAAGTTAGATGCTGAGAGGAGAAGTTTTTGATTACATAGGATGTTAACAGTGATGGAATCGAAATTATAATACTTTGAGATAATATTTTGTAATATGTCAATGTATTTGCATAATTGTTTTGGAATGTTTTAAGATATTTTAAGATACTTTGTTATATTTCGAACAATATTTGAAAAAATAATTCTTAATTTTTTTATTTTTTTCATTCTATTTCCGAAATGGATCGAAACATTTACGAAACACGTCAAAACGTTGATGTTTCTTAGGTGACCGAAACAATGCACTAAAATAAAATTTTGATTCTTGTCTTTGGTATCTTAAAGGAGCACCCAAAAAATTATTATTATATTGGCTTCACCATGTATGACTGTTACTGGTTTTTTTGATACTGACCGGCCAAGTAGTTGTATTGATATACGATCTATTTTTGGGTATTGAACGTTTCTTTTTTTTTTTTTGATAAGACACGCCATTTTATTAATAAAAATAAGAAAAAATTTATAAGAAACAAATCAACGGTGGACAAGGCATCCACACAAGGACTACAAGCCATATGAAGCTCTCTAACTTGTTCTAATACAAAAGAGAGGAATATCCCCAAACTCCTTAGTTGTTGAAGTCCAAAAAGAAGCCAAAAAATGAATCTATCCCATAGTCCCTCAACTTCTTCGCACTTATACTGAAAAATCCTTGCATCCCTTTCTTTCCAAATCACCCACAAAGTAGCAAAGTTAGCATTGTACCAAATAATCATCCATTTTCTGTTTCTCCCAAATCCCACATCATTTAAATAAAACATAGATTTCATTTCTCTTGAGGCAACCCAACAAAAATTTTAAAAACCATAAAGTTTATTCCACAAAATTCGTGCCAAAGGGCACTACAAAAAAAGATGATCCACACTCTCATAATGCCTTTTGCACATAACACACCATTGTGATTGACGACAAAAATTATGTCTCCTCTTTGAAGAACCTCATTGGTACTAATCCTATCGTGGGCAATAGTCCATGCACAACTTGCACCTTTAAAGACACCTTTGCTTTCTAAATCTCCAATGACAGCTCGAAAAAAGCAATTAAAGAATCATCAATCAAAGACACAAAGAAGGATTTATAAGAGAAGACACCCATTGGATCACCAATCCAATACCTCATATTCTCCAAATTAGGAGACAACAAATGATTAAGCAAGAAAAAAAGACTTATCAAATCCAAACATTCCCTATCATTAAGACTCTTACGAAACTCAAAATTTCAAGAAATATTAAAGTATAACTGAACCATAGAGGAAATCCAACCCCCTAGGATAACACAAAACCCTATATAGTCATGGAAAGAGAGTTCTAACACCCACAATGAACTTTTAACCCCTTGAGCAAAGCATGGTAACCCCTAAGAGATAAACTTCCACGGACTCTAAAAAGTTCCCCTTTCAACCCCATTAGTATCCTTACTCATTAGTCTGTAGCCTATACTTGCTTCTAATAACGTGCCACAATAAATCTTGCTCCAAAGAGAACCTCCATATGCATTTTCCAACCAAAGTAACATTCCTTTTCACCAAATTCCCTATGGATAACCCCCTATTTTTTGGCCTCCTCACAACCTCCCAATGAATCAAGTGATCATTTTTTCCCTCTCCCGCCCCTTCCCATAAAAAGTCTCTTATCAAACCTTCAATTTCCTTAGTCACCACTCCAGGCATTTTAAACAGAGACATGAAATATATAGGAATACTAGACAAAACAAACTGAATCAAAGTTAATCTACCCCTTAGAAATAAAGGATTTCTTCCATCCATCTAATCTCCATCCAACCATGGGTCCCAAAAGGTTCTTGACGGTGGATTGCCACCTAAAGAAAGTCCTAAGTATTTCAGTGACAACTCACCCACTATGCATTCCATCTCCCTCGCATCCTATCCACGTTTTCTTGAGTAGAATTGATTTCCACAAGAATGCTCTTCTCCAAATTAACCTTTAAGTCCTCAGATTACACCAAACAGATCAACAATCATTTGTAAGTTTCTTAATTTGTGCTCGTCTCCTAAAGAGAAGAATATATTATCATCTCCAAATTAAAAATGTGGCACTATAATCCTATCCCTTTCTATCGCGAACCTATCCACCAAGTGACATCTCTCTGTCCTCTCCATCAATCTACTCGGCCCATCCACCACCACTATGAACAAAAATAGAGATAAAGGATCCCCCGTCTGAGTCCCCAATGCGCCTTAAACAAACCTAGGCTTTCCATTCATAATCGCCAAGAAATTCACTGACTCCATGCATCCCATATGAAATGGTTGGGTGTATTTCCTCACCCAACCATTTGCAACTCTATGAAAAAATTTAGTGTTTGTTATCACCTTCCTTCACCCATTTAACTCTTGATTTTTGCCTCATGCTAATCTCTTCTTTAAACACCACGTCCTCAAAATTATTCTTATGCTTTCCTCTCTCCCTCTTCAATCCTTCATCCATGCCCTATATTCCCTTTCAATCTTATCAATTTCCTCAATCCTTTCCAAAATGAGCATTTTTGCTTCTCTAACATCCCTAAACACCTACTTATTCCATGCTATTAATTTTTGTTTGATGAACTCAAGATTTTTCATAAATTGCTTCCCACCTTGAACCCTAGCCTTTGCCCACCACTCTCTAATCCTTGCTATAAAATTTCTATGTTCCACCCACATATTCTCAAACCTAAATTGACAAGGTCTCCACCTAAACTTAGAATCAGTAAGAATAATGGGACAATAATCTGATACCACTCTAGCCAAAGCCAAGCTTCCTGCCTAACCCTTGGAAAGCATTTTTCCTATTCTCTTGAAAACAAAAACCTATCGAGTCTTTTACAAACCACCCTACTCCTAAAATTAGACTACGTAAACACACCATTTGCCAAAGAAGTATCCCTTAGTTTAGCTTCTCTAATAAAGGTGTCAAAGTCATTCATACTCTTTGTTATTTGCCCCCCATTCAATTTCTCCACTGGATACCTAATCACATTAAAGTCTCCTCTAACACCACCTAGGACTACACACCCCCAACAACCCAGCTAATTCCTCCCACAATGATAACCTAAACCTAGGCTTATTCGGTCCATAAACTCCGGTGAACCACCGATCAAAACCATCCCTATGCTTAAATCTAATTGAAATAGTAAATTCCCCCCAAGTAATTCTTCCACAACAACTGATCTCTCACCCCAAATAACGACGATACCACCAAAACACCCCACAGAGGGTAAAGAAACCCAACTCATAAACCTAGACTTCCACACACTGCTAATGACCCTCCTATTAATAACTTCTAATTTAGTTTATTGTAAAACAACTATATCTGGCCCAATCCTACCCAAAAACTCCTTAATTGAAACTCTCTTTCTCCACGACTCTATCCCTCTTACATTCTAGCTAACAATCTTCATAACAAACAATTGCTCCCTCCCCAATCTTCCAATAGCTTCCACCCTCATAATTAATCCTAGAGTATAAATTTTTTAGTTCTCTCACCCCTTATCTCTTCCTCTCACTTCTCCCTTCCTTTTTTTTCCTTTTTCTCTTTGCTGGAATTAATGTCAAATCCATTTGTAAAAAATTCCTCAACACAACCCACTTTTCTTCATCCGACAAAAAAACAGTCACCCACATCACTCTCATCCTTCCCCGACTCCAATCTGTCCCCCTGCATGTCTCCTCCAGAACTCAACATAACCCTGGTTATCACAACGTCGGTATTCCTTGACTCAAGATTAATGTTGGCACAATTTGATTAGTACTCAACATATGATCACAGTCCCAAGTGTGTGGAATGACTAAGGGGGTTGAAATTGGTTCAACCAGCTTCATCAAAGATTCGTCTTTTCTAGAAGCCACCCCCACGTATCATTTCAGAAGGAAAAAGAGGACAAACACCCCCAGAAGACAAAAGCTCAGCAGAAGAACCATCAGTGAAGATTTGTGGGATTTTTTGGTACCTTCTGAAGTACAAGAGAGAGCATTAGAAAATACTTGACCATCCAGCTTTTGAATTACCAGTGAATTTTTCATCCTCCCATTCATTTCCCCCACACCGAGTAGATTGGCCACATCACCATACACGTCGTCAATAGGAACAATGTCATGACTGCCAATATCACAACAACGAAGCAAATTCTCAGAACCACTTCCAGAATTACCACAGTCGTCGTACGCCATTAGCCCTGTGTAAGCATCTCAAAGACTTGCCTCATCATCTAAAGCCATCTTTGCCTGAAAATCTCCATCTATATCGTGATAGCCTGTGTCGAAGTCTTCACGAAAATTACCCCTTTTTTCAAACATTCCCATTTCTTCTAATATCCCACCATCAATCTTCCCCTTCCCCTCCATGATCACTGCAATTGTAGACGAAGTCTCCTCAGACAGCTGTTGAGTCAAATCATCTTTATCTCCCTGAGCGACGTCCCTCGCATAATCCAAATGCAAATTAGCCCTAACAGAAGCTACTGGAACAAAAGAGGCCACCTTAACTGGCCCAATATCGTTCGCCATTTCCTTCAAAACTTTAAGACACTCTCCATTCCCAGCCTTATTGAGTTCCATCAAAAAAAGGCCCACATTACTAATGTTTCGGCTTTGGTCCATAACGATATTGCACATTTGTTGGTGGTAATTTTATAACTTGGAGTAGCAAGAAATAAAATGTAGTTACACTTTCAAGTGTAGAGACAGAGTTTCGAACTATGGCTTACACAACATGTGAAATATTGTAGGTGTGCTCCCAACTTCGTGATATGGGAATTAGTGTCTTCTCCCATGCAAATGCATTGTGATAATCAAACAGTTATTTTCATTGCCAGTAATTTAGTATTTCATGAGCAAACACATTGAAGTGGATTGTCATTTCATTTGGGATTTCTTAATATGGAAGGAGATTATCAATAAATATATCAAGAGTTCCAAGGGAATAAAGATAGGATGATGTGGGGTAATTAGAAGTGAGTACTATGCGAAAATTCTCATTGGATCTGAGTTGTTTTTTAGCTTGAGTGGGAGTGTTAAGAGTTTTTATTTTTATACTTTATATTTATGTAGGGTAATATTGTACTTATCCAAAATACTGTTCAATATAAATAAGAGGGTGTAGGGTAACACAGTCGACACTGAGATTATTCTTTCTCTCCTTCTCTTGCCTCTCTTATTCTTCTTCTCTCTTATAAACCCTAATACCATCTTTACAATTTCTATTCATTGTAATTGTGTGATAGTGTGGAAATGTTCTCTTGTGTATTTTTCAAGACACTTTGTAATCTTCATCTTTGATAGTGAACTCTTGTTGCTGCGTTTTGACCGTGGACATAGACTTGTGTGTCGGGCCAAACCACATTAAATTTGTGTGTTTTGTATTTTTCTATTTTGTTTCATTTGCTTCTTTGTGGCCTTTGTTCCTAACATTTAGTATCCCAAGAGAGGACCCAATGTTGACGACAAGAATTAACTCGGTTGTAATTACTTGCCATGGGAGCCATCATCCCTCTTAAATATTTGGAGGAAGAATCTTTTGGTACATGGATAAGAGAAGTAAGTTATTCAAGGTTTCACATTCTTCCTGGAAGTATGTCAGAGGATGAGAATTGATGATCTCATGAATAATTCTCTCCGCTTTCGAAAATGCCATTCAGGAGCAATAATGGGAGGAAGTCATAAGTCATGAGACATGGGTTTGGAAAAGGAGTAGGACAAAGGTGTTGATTGACTTATTCAAGGGAAAAAAGACCTTCAAGTGTAACAGGGTATTTTATTGTAAATTATGAGGAGATTGAACACCGGATGGTATTAGTTGAAGTGGAGCCAAGGGGTTTCCTCAATTCAAGGTATGACTACTAAGAATCTAAGATACATTTCCTCTAGCAACAAATACCAACTACATTTGGGTGCTTTTATCTTTTAGATTGCTAGTGGCATAGAAGTAGACAACATTTATGTGTTCCACACAATTTTTTGCACTCAATTGATTCTAGGGTATGACTAGAGAAATATGTGAGTCAAAAAGGGATACAAACTAAGTGTAGAGCCCCCGTATATATAGTCAATAATAAATATACAATAAGGATAAAAAGGTAAAACAAAGGTAAAAAAGAAAACCCTAATAATCTAGGCTATAACTCCAACACTCCCCCCAAGCTAGGCGTAAAAATATCAACTAAGTCAAGCTTGACAATAGAGTCCTGAAGAATGGATAGAGTGACAAGTTTGGTGAAAACATCCGCAACTTGATCACTAGTCCCCACAAACAATGGAGTGACAATATCACGACTAACCTTCTCCCGAAGAAAATGAACATCGATCTCTATATGCTTTGTCCTCTTGTGTAGTACAGAGTCAGAAACAAGTTGAATAGCAGACCGATTATCACAATATAATATGGATGGAGAAGTCACTGGAAATCCCAACTCGCCAAGAATCGATCGTAGCCATATAATCTCACATGTGCCAAGTGCCAGTGTTCGATACTCTGTCTCTGTTGGTGAGCGGGAGACAACTGATTGTTTCTTGCTCTTCCAAGAGATAAGATGAGTCCCTCGAAAAGCACGTAAGCCCGTAGTAGATCGACTGTCACACGCTCCCCCATAATCTGAATTTGAATAACAGGCTAGAGAACCAGTTTAAGATCCTGATACATAGAACAACCCAAGTCTAGGACAAGACTTGAGGTACCGAAGAATATGATAAATTGCATCAAGATTTGGCTGACACGACCTGTGCATTAACTGACTAACTCGACTGACTGCGAATGAAATGTCTGGCCTTGTGTTGACTAGGTAGATAAGTCTACCTACCAACCTCTGATAGATAGTCGGATCTCTCAATTTCTCACCTTCAGCAGTAAGCTTCAGGTTTGAAATTATGGGTGATGATGCCGGTTTGCACCCAAGCATCCCAGGGTCTGAAAGAAGATCCAGAACATACTTTCTCTGAGAAAGAACAACACCCCTACTGCTACGGGTCTACCTTGACTTGTGCAGTCCCAGAAACATCATCTTCAGTAATAATAATATCATCAACATATACCAAAAGGATAACACACTGTCTAGAAGTATTCTGCCGAATAAAGCAGGTATGATCAGAATGACATCTGGTAAATTCAAAACATACGACTATATCACTAAAGTGAGAGAACAATGCTCGTGATGACTGTTTCAGTCTATAAAGAGACTTACACAGTTGACATACCTTTCCAGCATACTCCCCGTCGCCACGAAAGTCCGGTGGTGCATCCATATAAATAATCTCGTCCAGATCACCATAAATAAATGTATTCTTTACATCTAACTGATGAAGAGGCCAAAAGTACTCTGTAGCCAAAAAAATAATCAACCGAACAGTAGTCAATTTTGCCACGGGGGCAAAAGTAGCACCAAAATCACGACCTGGTACTTGAGTAAAATCCTTTGCCACAAGCCTAGTTTTGTGACGATCAATAGTACTATCCGCAAGAAACTTCAGGGTGTAAATCCAGCGACAGCCAACAAGTTTCACCCCTGAAGGTAAAGAGACAAGATCCCATGTATGATTATGCTGAAGAGCGTCCATCTCCGTCTGCATGGCAAGAATCCACTAGGGTTCCCGCATAGCCTCTGAAATAGAGCGAGGAACTGACGTATCTGATAAGGTTATACTATAAGCTCGAAATGTGGGAAACAAATCACCATAAAAAATATAAGTAGAGATCGGATATAAAATCCTGGCGGTCTAACCATAACGATCAACTGGATGGGGATCACGTTGCGAATAACGATGCCCTAAATCATCATCCTTTACTAACAATGTTTTATCAGGTAATGTAATTGACTCAGTACCTACAATCTAATAAGTACTAACAACATGGATATCAATATACTCAACGAACTGAGAAGTATTATCTGTATTGCTTGAGGTAGGGGACATCAGCAGGGGGATGAGAGTGAGGGCGACGAACATAAACCTACAAAGGAAGAGAGATTGGTGACTTTGGCTATGGAGGAGGAGAGACTGATGACTCTGTAGTGATAGGGACTAATGGCTCTGACTCCTGTGGTAATGAAAAATCAAAGGGAGTATCATCAATTGGAGGGGAAGACACAGGATTGGAAGAAAAATAGAGAACATGCGCAAGAAAGGTAATATCTAGACTATGATACATACGGCACCTGATAAGATCATAACACCAATATCCCTTAGACTGATGATAATAGCCCACAAAGATATAACGAATCGCTATATCATCAAGCTTATGACGAGTAGGAGACCGATCCTGAACAAAATATGTGCAGCCAAAAACATGAGGCGGGACAGGAAAAAGTGTCCGCTCAGGGAATAAGACCAATAAGGGAGCCCTGTGCTGAAGAACATGACTCGGTATACGATTGCATAGAAATGTAGAAGTCAAAACAGTAAAATGCCAATAAAATTTTGGTACCCCCATACCTCTAAGCATACAACGTACCATCCCTATTAGACTCTTATTTTTCCTTTCAGCAACTCCATTTTGCTTAGGAGTATATGGACAAGTGAGCTGCTGAAAGATACCCTAGGAAGAACGGTGAGACACTAAGGCATCAGACACATATTCTTTAGTATTATCCGAACAAAGAGCATAAACAATGACATCGAATTGTGTCTTAATCATCTAGAGAAACTGAGTGATGATAGGGAGTACATCAGACTTCCTATGCAAAAGGTAGATCCAAGTACAATGAGTATGGTCATCTATAAATGTCACATAGTATTGAGCACCTGACAGAGCAGTAACAGGAGAAGGTTCCCAAATATCAGAGTGTATTAGGTCAAATGGCTTAGGTGACTGGTGCATGCGAGGAATATAATTGGTCTTAACATGTTTCAATAGGGAACATATAACAGTCAAGTTTACCACCAATACAAGCATTGCTTAAAGCAGGAAACAACATACATAAATATTTAAAATTTGTATGTCCAAAACGGTCATGCCACAACTGAACAATTTGTGATAAAAAATCATAACGATAAGTACTAGGTAAAATACTAGCATGCAAGCTAGGAATAAATAAAGACAAACAAGTGCAGGTGATGTAGGTGGAGGAATTGGTGAAACTGGAGGTGAATCGCCTAGATAATACAATCCATCTCTCTCATGTCCCTGATAATAATCCTCTTGGTACTCAGGTCCTGCAAATAACATGAATCAGATAAGAACACAACTGCACAGTGAAAATCTCTAGCTAACTGATGTACGAATAATAGATTCATAGCCAACTTTGACGCATGAAAAATTGAATGTAATGTAAAGTCATCTGGGAGGCGGACTGTACCCTTACTAATAATAGGGGCATGTGTCCCATCTACTAACTGAACTTGTATTTGTAAATGTTCGTCAAAAGTAGTGAAGTGATGGGCCTCACCAGTCATATGACCATTCGCACCCGAGTCCAGTATTCAAAGAGGAGACAAATTGGTGCGAGCATAGAAGACACAAGATATACCTGTAGTGGTGACAGTAGTAGAAGTCGGACCTTGAGAAGTCAGGGCGGACATAAGTCTATCCAATCGGGAAGTCATAACATCCATATCACTCTGCCAAGGAGGAACAATAGGAGCAACAGTAGGAGCAGCAGCAGTAGGTGGTGGTATCTTAGCAATAGCAGCAGTACGACCCCGAGGAGGCGGCTTAAGCTCCGGATGGAGCCTCCAACAAGCAACCCTGAGATGTCCTGGTCGGCCACAATAATCACACTGACGAGAATCCCCCTGTCTGCGCTGATCTGGAGTGCCCTGACGGCGCTGGTTCAAGCGCTGTCCACCTCTGGCTAAGGATCCTGAACGAGACCCGGCAGTAGCTGCAAGGGCCATCTGGTCGGCCAGAGGACTCAAGGCTGCAACTGGAAGGGATGCAATACAGACACGACGCTCATGCTGCTCAATCATCACATACACCTCATAAAGAGACGGAAGCCTCATCATCGACAAGATATGTGAACGAGGTCCCTCAAACTTATCACGAAACCCTATAAGGAACTTGTGAATCCTATCCTTCTGCTCTCGAGTATGCAAGAATGCTGCTCCCTTGGGTTCTATCCTCAGAATGGCAGCAAGAGGACGTAGAGTCTCATACACAAGCCACTGCAGGGTCAAATAGCCATAATAATCCTGAACGGTCAAATCTCCTTGCCGAGCATATGAGAGCTCTTGAAAAAGCTCATAAACACGAACTCTCCATCCTGACTGGGAATACATTTTAATAATGCGTTCCATTGATTTGGAATAAGAGCTATGAAGCTGATGAATCCTACAAACAGATAACTCTATTGAGCCAAATAACCATCCAAGAATGACACAGTTCTCAAAGAACCACGTAGAATATCTAGGGTCGGTATCAGTTGGCTTTGGGTGAGATCCCATCAGCCAACCAAGCTTCCCTACATGGCCTAGAAAAAGCTGGAATGAGCGAGACCACTCAGCGAAGTTAAGGCCATTCAACAGCTGTGCTGTAACTTTCTGAGAGATCATGCCCGACAATGCTGGTAATGCAACTGTGCTAGTAGGTACTGTATACTAGTCAAACATAAAAGTGAAAATACCAATAGATGTCTCAACGGTAGAGGTGTCAACAGTAGAAGACTCAAGTCCCTCAGTAGTAGCCATATCAACAATAATACTAGGGCACCCGTGACAGAAAAACAACTCTAAGATAAATAGAGAGATAAGAACAATATATCTCCAGTCGAACAGTAGCGACAAATAAAGAAGGTCCAAAAAGCTCTCAAATAATCAGGTCACGGTGTCCAGAAATTCAATAAATATAAATCATCTACTGCATCAAGAGCAGATCAACAGACGGAGAAGAGGATTTAACCCCTCATAAAAAAAGATCCTAGTTACTGTAACCTGGCAGCACTATGACGAAGAGTGCAAACGAAGGTACAACAAAAAACACAACCCGGCAGTGGGCTGGGCAGCGACCCAGTGGTAGGCTAGGCACTTGGGTAATTTTTCGGTGTTGGGTTGTTTCGGTGGAAGGCTGAGGGCTGTCGGTGGAAGGCTAGGTATTGCGACTGTTTGGAGGTTTGGTTTACTGGTGGGTTGCTGGCTTCCTGGGTTGCTGTTTTGGGCTGTGGCTGAGCAGTGGGTTGCGTGGCTGTGGCTTGGGTGTGCTGCTGGTTTGAGTTTTGGTGGTTTTGCATGGCTGGGCTGGGTAAGGTGGCTTAGCAGCAGGTTGCGTGCCTGAGCAGTGGGTTGCGTGAGAAGTGGGGTGGCTGAGCAGTGGGTTGCGTGGCTGTGGCTTGGGTGTGCTGCTGGTTTGAGTTTTGGTGGTTTTGCGTGGCTGGGCTTGGTAATTGTTCTTTGCTGGGTGGTTTCGTTGATGGTGTTGGTGGAGTTAACTGGTCACTGTTGGTGGCACAGGTGGTTGCTGGTTATTGTGGCTTCTGTCAGTGGGTGTGGCTGGGATTGCCAGGCAGCGGCTGTTGCTGGTTGCTGGTTGCTGGTGGCGGCATTGGTTGTTGCTGGGCTGTGGTAACAAGGTATAGGAGGCTAGGGTTAGGGTTAAGGTTAGGGTTAGGGTTAGGGTTAGGGGCTAAGGTTTTGGCTTTGATACCAACTAGAGAAATATGTGAGTCAAAAAGGGATACAAACTAAGTTTAGAGCCCAGTATATATAGTCAACAATAAAGATACAATAAAGATAAAAAGGTAAAACAAAGGTAAAAAAACCCTAATAATCTAGGCTATAACTCCAACAGTATTTAAAGTTTTAATAAGGCCACAGTTACAGGAATTGTCAAGATTATCAGTCTTCTTTATTCAACATTGTTGTGGAAGATTATGGCTCTCATTGCATTTGCTGATGACACCATATGACCAACAATAACGTAAAAAGCATAAGAAGTTGGTGCAAGGAACTACATTCCGTTTCAAAATGGTCAAAATGTCCAAAACGATTCATTTGATTGAATATTGAATCAAATTTTTAAATTTTTTCCTTGTTTCCATCCTTTTTTCGAAATGTTTCTGAAATATTGCCGAAATTTTTTTGTGTCTAAGCAAATTGAAAATATGCACCGAAACAAAATTTTGATCTTTGAACTGGTAAATTCGAGGTATTTCCTGGGAACAAAGGTTGGTAGATGAAAGAATGGAAAATCTATCACTATCAGATAAAGAAGTTGCAGACTTTCTGAAAGGAAAGGGCAATTCTGGGTAGTAATTCGGGCGATACTTCAATTGAACAGAATTATTGATTAGGTGAAAATGAGGGAAGCCATCTGGTCAATGCTAAGAGGTTTCAAAAACTCTTGGGGAGCTTATCTATTCACCTTCCAGTCATTTTGACATGGCAATTGTGCAGTGTTAGTAAGCCAATAGTAAATGCCCCAAGTGTCAGCAAATATGGAAGAACCTACAAGATACTTAAATACTAGAAATTAGCACAAAGGGGGACCTCTTATTTGGTAAACATTGAGATATCAATGTTTTTTTTGGGTTAAGTGGGATATTGTAGTTGTTTCAAGAAATGATACATATTTTTTTGGAGCTATTGGTCCCAAGCAGTAAGCCTCGTTTGAAGAGTCTCATTAATTTCGTTAGGTATTAGTTTTTAATCAATATACCTTCCTCCCAATCTTTTGTGATTTTTTCTTTTTTCCCACTTTACCTTGGTTAGAGGGGCTGTCACAATATGACAAAGGATGGATAAAGCGGTGGTTTGCGAGACCTAGAATGGAAGCTGTGTCTAGTGTTATTGGCAGCTATATTACACTAAAGGCTTATGCTCGGAAATAGTTTCCATTTAGAGAACCTATTTTGCCATTGGAAACAAAAACCATTGAGGCTGATTCACCTTTCCAGCTTTTCTAAAATGGTAAGGGAGTTCGTTGTAGATTTGTATGCCATATGTGAAGGTAGAACTATGGGGGACTAACTTGCGGATGATATACATACAATATTAAGGGAACCAACCTCCTTGTTAGTTTAAGCAAGTGAGAAAATGTGCGATATTGAATGTGTTTGTGTGTGTGTATTCTATGTTAGAGTTGTTCTTGTCATGCTAATAGATAGAAGGGTTTTGCTCCTGTTTTGATCTTTTCCCTGTAAGTTGATCACAGTGTAAAACACTAACTGCACGTGGTTCTTTTATTGGCACCCAGCCCACTTTAATTAGAATTTATACTTGCTTCACATCATAGAAGACAAATAACAAAACTTTTGTCTTTGCACTCTCTCTCTCTCTCTCAACCAACACACCCACTCGTGCATCCTTAGTGTTGCTCCAAATTTGATTTAAACTTGTATATTGTTTCTGGTCAAATGGTTGAAGATGTATACTTTACATGCTTGGTAACGGTTTATCTCATGTCATAGTAATACTTGACACTTATCGTGTTTCAGCTCACGAATAGAAAGTGGGGTGAGGGTGGGGAAAGTGATGATCATATTGTGCCATATCCTGATGGAAGTGAAGAAAAATCTCATGGTTTATATAGAGATCTCATTAGTAAGGAATGGAATCAGGAAGCTGCAGACATCAAGCATGCTGAACGGAAGAAATCTGCTGCTAAAAATGAATCCCATGGAGGTAAACTAGAGGGCAATTCCCAAAAAAGGACGAATGAAGGCCTTCACACCACAGGATTTGGCATGGACATATGGCCTGATTTGTCTTTATCCAATACTGCAAAAACTGATCAGGATTCCATGGACACTGAAGCATCCAACAATTTAATTGAAATTTCCCAATATGATTCCTCGACAGGCGGTGCGTGAAACAGAATGAGTTTGAAATTAACAGATTTTTTCACAGTAATAATATGTATTTGATTTTGCATAACTTTTCAACAGATGAAATGGCTCGACTGGATAACTGTTCTGAGATTTTTCAGAACCGGCAAGAGGAGGAGGAAGGTGATTTTGTTGACTATGGTTGGGCTAACATTGGAAGCTTTGACGATCTCGATAGAATTTTCAGGTAATGCATGGTCTTCATATCCTTCTCTCTTGACCTGGATGATATATTCTCTTTTTAGGCGTCTGATAGGGCACCTGGGGAATATCTGCTGCCACTAAAATGGTTGTAATTGTATCCTCAAAATGCAAGGCAATTGCCTGATACCATGAGTAGCAAAATGTCTACCAAATACTCTGCAGAAAGTTGTTACTTTTGCTTATCACCTGATCCAACTATTGCTTATATATGGTCTTATTAAGATTAAACACTAGAAATTATCAAAGATGAACAACTTATCATCGGCTTTGAATATTTAGTGCTTCTGTAATTTTTTTAAATATTGACTTTCTGTTGATTGGATCTTGGATGATAATATTTACATTAAGCAATATTTTCTTCACAGAGGTTTAAATGAAACACAAGATTCAATAGATAATCTCAGCTTTAGAATTGTTCCTCATATCCAGACCTATATATAAATGAACACTTACAACTCAAATAAACATAGCCTTATCCCAATATATATATTGATCAATTTAGAGAAGAGAGGGCTTGAAAAGCTTTCCTCCTCAAATACTAAATTCTGCAAATTTTGAATTATTTTAAAAGAATTGCTTTGGTCCCCTCCAATTATATTATTCCACTTGGCCTATGTAAGGACTCCTACTATCTTTGTTAACTGTTTCACATTTGAATTTTTATTTGGAAAAACAATTAGCACAGCATGGGGCGGCCGCTTGAGTATATATATGAACAACAAGGATACGTTTGTTTTCCACAGATCATCACAATCTCTTCCGCATGAATAGATTTTGCTTGGCTAAAGACCAGATATGTCATTATTTATTCAATATTATTAGCAACCAACAAGCATGGAACTTGGATTATATAATATTTCCAAAGATTAGAGAATTGGATCTTAAAGTTTGCTTTCAATTATTTTGATCCATTTATTCTTTGAAGTCCTATCATTGTTACTGCAATTCAGTTTTTTCCCTGACAGTACCCATCTGACCCAATATCCTTGCAAGTGATATTTTGCAGCAATGATGAACCAATATTTGGAAATGTGAGCCTTAGTAATGCAGATGATCTATGGTCATCTTCTAAGGATGTCGCGAGTTGTCCGGATACATCCATGCCCTTGTCGATGGATGTTCCAAGTGTGGGGTTAGGAGCATTTCGGAGTACATCTGAGCATCCTGATGTCAAAACAGAATATGGGCTGGATCAAGAACAGTCATTTACCACTGCATATGCGAAAATGAATGATATCGGTTGTCTGCCTCTGAAGAATGTACAGGCAAAAATGAATCAAATAACCTATGCTGGAGGGAAAAGTAAACTCTTAATGAAGGACAAGGTATAAACAGTCTTTATGGTGTATGATTTATATTTTTATTTATGTGGGACAACAAATTGTGCACACAGTTTGGCATGTGTGACATTGTTCACTTTTTTGTTGCTTTTCACAGACAGCTTCAGAAATGATTGGAAAAACTGCAGCATTCAACCCCCACCTTGATGCTGAACCTGTTGCAACCCCAGATAACAATGCAGACAAGGTACTCTTTTCTCTTATTTCTCTAAGAAGCAACTGATTCCTAGTTTCTCGATAGTCGTTACACTACACCTAATTGGTTAGGTCATTCTTTTGTTTTGTTTCCTTTTAATAATAGGTGTGTCAGGGTTAGGAGTGTAGAACATCATCAGTGATCATGGGGATCTGCCTGCAAAAGATATATGGAATTTATAACCCTTCAACACCCTTGGTCAACGTTGACCAAACTGGAGGAGGACCTTTTATACTCTGAAAGAGTAATATTATTAAATTTGGGCACTTCACTGAACCCGAGATACTATAAGGGCCCAACAGTATGGTCCACTTGTTTGTAACAAAAATGGCTTAAGTATTTTTTTTGATTATGATTCACATACCTTCTTCTTTTGCTTTACAATAAAGAATTAGACTTAACTTGTAAGATAGTTGGTGCTTCACATATATGAAAGCTTGTCACCACATGGGGGGAAGTGGGGCAAGGGTGGGTGGTTGATTTTGGTTCTGACAAGTTACTCGAGCATTCAATACCAATCTCTATAATGTTCAATCAATATGGTGTTCAGTATTGCACTTTCTGCTATGACATTGGACATCTGATCTGACAAGAAAGGAAATGATTCTTTTGAGGGAGGAATGAGATATATGCTAAATTAAGTGACAATTTTTTAAAGTTTAGAGGTCAAATATTAAGATCAAAATTTTGTTTCGATGCATAGTTTTGGTCACTTAAGAGACATAGACATTTCGATGATAAAATGAAAATAGATTAAAAAAAAATTAGGAATTTAGTTTCAAAATATTCTAAGGCTTTGGTCGAAATATATTAGATTGAAACATCTTGAATTACCTCAAAACATTATGAAATATTGGAGTCTCGATTGTCATAGTCATTGTTAAGTTCAGAGAATAGAGACTTAACACAATATGCGGGAGGCAGAGAGTAATTACTTACCCTACCTCTCACTCTCAACTTGCATTTATAGTTATCCTAATAAAATTCAAAAGACTAGTTTACCCTAAGAGTGATATACTTATTACAACCATATTAAAATTAAAAGATAATAATAATAATAATAATAATAATAATAATAATACTCTCATCAGTCATGAAGAAGCTTAAATGTGTATTGATTTAGTCTGTATGCCTAGATAAACATGGACTCAGGTCATGGAAAATGTAGACTACCTCTTTTTTCCCGTTGGAATTTGCTAGCAGCTTGATAGTTGTTATATAAGTGCGAGAGAGATATACCATGTTGAAAATTAAGTTGGCCAAGAATGGTTTATAGACTTGAAGGGCACTCAACTCATTGGTTTTGTGTTGGATGCTCTAATGTGGTATCAGAGATGAGACTTGGCCTTGGGTAGTTAGTGGGTTAAGTCTCTCACCTAGTTGAATTCCCCGCTCTATTTATTTGTCTATTTCCTTTAACTTTAGCCTATTTGTCTGTCTGTTTCACTCCAGTTGTTAGACCATTTTCGAGTCCGGGTTAAACGTAAGGGAGGGTGTGAAGAGAAGTATCTCACATTGAAAAATTAAAAAGACCAAGAATGGTTTATATGCTTGAGGAGTCACTCCACCCAGGTTTTGTGTTGGATGCTCTAACAATAAGCAGCTTGTATGTCTATTTGTAGGCAATCAGCAAATGAATTTTACTAACTTGAAAAGAGAACCTCGCTTTTACTGAAGGTCTAGAAATATCCTAACTAATTCTTAGCTATGACATGTAACTCTTGTTATTTATTGAATCTATGTCATTGTGTTTTTTTTTTTTTTTGTACATCAAAGTGTTGCTCTAGTTTCTTGCATGTGAACAGTTGAATAGACACAGAAAATTGTGGAAAATCCAGAAAAAGTCAGAAGAAACGAGAGAAGCCAGGCAATTGCAGGAATTATGTGGTACCTGGCCTTCATTTGGAATCCAGTTCCAACAATTTGAGGGCCATTATGCTCCACCAATGGGCCTCCCTTGTCCATCACTACTGCTCAATCAGAAAAGGCTGCTTCAAGCACCTGATTCTTTGCAATACAATCATTTCTCCAATCCACTTTTGGCTCCTCCTGTTTATGGGAACATGGCAAATCAGTATCCTACCCTGCCTGTTTTACAATACTTTCATTCTGGTGAAAGCAACCATCAAGAAGTGCCTTCTGGCTACGATGTTTCTCCTGGCAATTCAAATCGTTTAAACAAGACATCAGGCACTCCTGGAAAGCATCTAACAATGACACCTCAGGAAAAAATTGAAAAGTTAAGGAGACGACAGCAATTGCGGGCAATGCTTGCAATTCAAAAACAAAAGCAGCAGTTCAGTCATCAAGTCTCTTGTGCCGAACAATCTGTTACTCAAAAATTTTCACATGAAAACCAAATGCAGCTTATTCCAGGAGGGAATACTGAAGATGAAGAAAATCTGAGTACCCTTCCTTATCTTGACCCAAACTCACAAGTAGAACAGGATGATTCCAACACAGTCTCTATGGCTATTGATGATTTTTCGATGGAGGACACAATACTTCATCAACTTCAAAAGGTCATTGCAAAGGTATGATCGCTGATAGATTCTTTTTGTGGTGAAGTCATGGAGCCTGCTAGTGCTCATTGCAAGCAATACTTTATTGCAGTTGGACATCCAAATAAGACTTTGCATCCGAGATAGCTTGTTTCGACTGGCTCAAAGCGCTAAGAAAAGGCAATATGCCAGTGATACAAGCAGTACCAACGAAAGTAGCAGAGATGAAATTCTCGCAAAAGAAGAAATAAATAGTCATAACAGGTTAGTGAAACAAAGTGTAGTTCTCATTCTGTATCTAAAAATTGGATACCTCTATTTTGCATAATGAAAAGGTTAATAGTGTATTTTATTTCTTTCTTTGATATATTGTATTCAAGAGCGCCAAAAAGAGTTGGGTGCAAACCGTGTTTCATGACGTGTGCAAGAGCAATGCCTGTCAGACAATCAGATCTATGCACTTGAGGATGCATAAATAACAACTCCAAGGAGCACTGTTCACCACATGAGCAGGCTCCTCCACACCTCAGACAACTGCTTGTTCCTTCAAACTCGCTGGATGATGCTTAACGGGTCTATTCTGCCATGCATTTCATAATATAAAGTCTATATCCCCTCTACCTATCAAACAAATCAACCACTTGGAAAACGCTCAACTGCGATGAGACAACAATAAAAAGCATCCGTCTCACTCCCATCAAGGGCTCTACCACTGGCAATCATTTTTCTAGCTTGCAAAAGATACTGAGTAGACAAGAACATCACTTACCAATTTTAGGAGTTTGTAGTACTAACTAGCAATGATTTATATGAAAAACAGATGAGTGAGATATGGTTGAAGAGCAATAAGTGTACTTTTTGCTGAGGATAAAAATTTATTTTCCAGTCCTCTATCCCTACCAAAACAAATTAATTGAACTTTTCGCCGAGGATAAAGATCTATTTTCCACTCCTGCTCCATCCCAACCAGAACATGTAGAGTATGAAGAGAAAAGGCCGAAGGAATTTATCATGTGGCCGGGTTATATGCAGATGAAACAATAAACACACTGGTATGATATACCTGCGTGAGCAAAGTTGATAGAAGAAGAACCAACAGGCACCTAAGGGTTTGAATCTCATCCCAAGTAAACTCTTCATGTGTGTGGGATTGCACAGTACCACATCAACCACCACCTTGCCCATGTATGGGACATCCAATCAGCTTCCAACAACCCTCGTGTGTCTTATCTTCTCACAATAATCGCACTTCAAAATATCTGTCAACAATGCCACTCTTGTTAGTAGACTTGTTTGTGCTAATTTAAGACCACTTTAGGGAATAATAGCTAAACCAGATTGCACCTGAATAGGAGTGTGAACTCTAGCAGTCCTCCTACTAAGCAAAGGCGTAGGCCTTTTGCAAGGTGGAAAATTAACTATAGCCAAAAATTTGAACCTGAATCTTTTCATAGTCCATGATTGGGACCACCGAAAAAAATGATAGACACGTTATTTCTCTACCATCTGTTGAAACTTTGTCGAATAAGCAGCATGAGCTGCCTAAAAACTCTAGTAATAGTCAAGTCTATATAATAAATAGCAAGCGTTTCTGACTGGTCTTACGAACTTTCTTTTGAAGGTCATAAGCTTTGGCATCATTTTCTCTCTGAGCATAAGTTTGGGTCACGATAGTCCAAATCTTGTGAATTGTATCGAGTAACAGAATACTGAGAGACTAATAGAAGGTTGCATTGAATTATGTAACCAATATATAACCAAGGTATTTTCAAATGTCCACTATTTAAGGGAAGAGCCCGACTCAGTACTCATCTCACCCTCTCTTGTTAAATACCTATCTAAAGATATCGCTTAGACTAATAACAAACAAACCCATGATCATGCCAAATAATTGCTGTCATTCAACTTCTCTGGACTAATTTGAAAAGAAAGGTTGTTTGTAAGAGCTCCTTTAGGGCTCTACCCACTCCCTCCAGTACTAGCAGTAAGTCACACTGTCATCAAACAAGTCCACACAATCAGATGCTGAAAACTTACTTTGTTGCATTTTGTCAATGTGTGGTTTTTGAAATGTTAATCCTTTCTTTTTGTGGTGCCCTCGCAAGGCACCACTTACATGGAAGGTGAAGTTATTGAATTTTGTTGTCCAAGTATTGTGAGGAAATTAGGTAGGTAAATATCTATAATTAGGGAATCATATAAGCGGAGTGAGTGATACTTTTTCATAGATTCTTAAATCAAAAGTTAAAATAGTTTCATTGCAATTGTCTTCTTGTTTGTTTCCCAGCTATCACTATATTAGAGAAGAAGACCTCTTCTTTTCTATCTTTTTAGTAATGGTTGTGCTACAAATTGTTGGACTTGTCACCCTAGTTCATTGTTTTATTTGTTCTGCTGTCCTTTATCTGTCTTCTTTGTAATGAAAATTAGTAGTTAAATCATAATTAAGGTCCTTGCTATTTGATGATAATTTTAGTTTTTAGAACATTTTAGTTCTTGAGAGTCTCATTTTGAAAAATTTTGATCGGGTTTAGAGACATCCACATTTTGGATGAACTACTACTAATAAGATATTCACATTCTGAAAACTAAGATTGATTTCTTTGAAACAGCCTCACTTTGGAGGAACTACTTCTGATAATAGTATAGACCTATCATCAACGTAATATCATACAGAAATATTTGAAAAAAGGTGCCTACAATGTCACTCAACCAACCATTTTTTAGTCAAAAATAGATTGGGTTCTTGCTCTGAAATCAGTTTTTTCATCACAAAACAAGATGAGTAAAATATTGGACACAATGTAGATAAAAGCTGGAACCTGGTTCCCGTCTTATCAAGGTAGGAACTGGTACATTTTGAGGTTAATACAGTGCTTGTGGGGACAGCGATTTCTAGGACTCTCATCTTGAATTCATGCTTTTGAAGTACCCTAGAATATTACATCATCAATTGATAATGTTTACAGCTTCTGCTTGTTCACCTAGAACCCTGTTGATATAAAGCAGATGAGAACCTTATTCCAACTAGGAATCTGTGCCTTTCTAAAGTTTGCAGTCTTTCATATCTGACTTTGCCGTTTCGAATCAATCTTAATATTTCCTTTTTGTAAAATATGTACTGTTTTATTTGTTTGATTGTTTGATTGCACATTGCTCATTTAGGAAAACCAGGGATTTTAATTTTAAATCTTGCTTAAGAGGGCATTTCATTGACTTCATAAACGAACCCTGCATTCCCTTTTGCCTGTATTTCTCTAATGCTCTTAAGTACGAAAACTAATTTCTCGTAGGTTTGATAGAATCGCTGATGTGGAGACAGAGACCAATCCAATAGATCGCACTGTGGCTCATTTGCTCTTTCATAGACCTCCAGAGTTGCCAGGAAAACATGTTTACACACCTGAATCACCTTTGTCTGCTATGCTTCCTTTTGAACGGAAAGTAAGTGAGCTGATCAGCTTGCCTATGGGTTTTTTACCTGAGAATTCTAAAAATAAGCAAACTTTATGTGACCAGAGTTCAAAAATTTCTTGCTTATTTGGTGATGGGGATCGGGATGAAAGCATACTCCCAGTAAACACTTTGGGGTATGCGTCAAACAAAAATCCAACAGATGGAAGAGCTACTGAGCTTGAATCTTCTTAATGAAGAAAATGTATATCTAAAGCTCTTTAAGGGTAATCCCTTCCTTTATATACTCCATACGTTCTGTTTGTATGTCATATATTGATTTCACCCTAGTTATTTTTCTTTTCTTGTCAGACAAGTGGATCTTCTTAAAGCATGGTTTGGAACATCAAAAATCCTTACCTCAGAGCAGTCTTCATAGATACTAGAATTTGCATGCTCGAATGCTTGAAGCGTTGCAGTTAATTATGTCTTTCGTTTTTACATGTTCAATAAACTTACTCTCCGTAACGACTTGTGTTATGGTTGTAATGTTTGCTTCTCATGATGAAGGTCTGAAAGGGCGAAGCTACTTAACTCCAACTAATTAATTCGTGGCTTTGTTTATGTAATCGATCTGGGAATTACTTGTATCTTTTGTATGTCCTTGTGGATTTCTGTTTGCAAAAATTAATCTGGTGTAAATGTTTCGGTTTATCTTCTGTGTCAAGCATATTTATGAAAATTCTTGATCAGGGTTAGGTATGTTTTTGCTTTTGTTGGTTTTTGATACTAGTTCACATTATATTTTTTTTTCTTATACTGGTAACATTTTAGCTATCCTGAAGTATTCGGCCCTACTTCAAATGTGGATTCTGCATATTAGATCTTGTTAACATTCAAGTCTCAATCTATTTTTAAAAGTTTATAAGAGTCTACAGCAGCACATAATAGGTAAAATTGCACTCTCTGTTCTTTGTTGTATGTAGTAGCCAGTTTAAAACTTGGGTAGCAGAGATGTTTATGGCTTTGTTGGAGTTGCCAGGACTGCAGTGGTTCAAATTACACGAAATGATGCATCGTACATAATTTTCGAGATTATGTCTTTGTGGAAGTTGCCGGGATTGGGGTGGTTCAAATTTCATGGAAGGGCATATTATGTGGAATAGCCGGGGCTGTGGCTTTGTTGAAGTTGTTGGGTTTCCGATTTTGTCGAAATTGTTGGGACTAGCAGAAATTATCATGAATACCCATGACTTGTGAAACAGCTTAGCAGTGAAGGATCAACTTTGATGATACAATTGATAAATATCAAGTTGTAAGAGATTAAAGACAGAATTTGGGAAATAGGTGGTTTAGCTTTTAAAGTCTGCATCTCGGGACCAATATGTCATTGCAGAGTACATTTTTTTCCTACTAATTCTTGCTTATCAGGACACACGAGTTACATACACCCTTTTACAGATTGGAATCAATACCCCTCTATGGTAGGAATTGAAGTAATTGTAAAAATTGGACTCTTAGCATCCACTTAACAGGATTGTTTGATTGATTGACTTATTGATCACATGGCCGTCAAGTTTGGTTCTGAATGTTGAAACACGATGTCTAACTTGAATTGAAAAACAAAATGATTGTCAACGGCAATTTTACAGTTATTATTAGGACTGTTGGTCGACAATTGTAGGCTAACAGGGCAAGAATTACCCACTTGCAATCTGTTGAACTGAACTCTGATATTAAAACGGAGCTGAAAGCAATCAAAACACATACTTACCAACTACTAGTGGCAAAGGAAATTCTTTGGAAGCAATGGTCCAAATCCTTGTGGCTAAAAGAGGGGGGCTCGCAATACCAAACTTTTTCATGATCAAGCGACCATGAGAAGCCACAGGAATTTTATGAAGGGGGCTAAAGGATGAGAACAGATAGTGGGTTTCTGATACAAGGTGTATTAAGCATATTGCAATGAAACTTTGGAGTTCTTGAACAATGATTGTTTTTGTCCGAAATTGAACTATTCGCACATCGTCATGATCCCAAAAGTCCTGCCCCTAGAGGATATGTCACAGTTCCGGCCCATTAGCTTATGTAATACAATTTATAAAATCATGGCCAAAATCTTAGTAAACCGGTTAAAAAAGATTTTGACAATGATTATTTCGGAATATTAAAGTGAGTTTGTGTCAGGGAGACTCATCACTGATAATGTCTTAGTAGCATATAAGCTAAGTCATCATCTACAAAGAAAGAAACAAGGACGTCAAGGATACATGTCTATTAAGCTTGACATGAATAAAGCTTATGACAGGGTAGAATAGTGTTTTCTTAGAGATGACAATGAGAAAGTTGGGTTTTGATGAAAAATGGATCTACTTGGTAATGACTTGCGTGCAAACTGTCTCATACTCGGTTGTGATTAATGGAGAGCAGCAGATGGGATTTTTTCATCCCAAGAGAGGCATTAGGCAGGGTGATCCCTTATCACCTTACCTTTTCTTCTTGTGCTCCGAATGCCTTTCTGCTTTGTTTTTGAGAGCTGAAGTAGCAGGTAGTTTGAAGGGGATAGCGGTTGGACATGGTGGCCCAACTATTTCTCATTTACTTTTTGCACATGATAGCCTCTTGTTTGCCCAAGCCTCAATAGAGAGTGGTAGAACTATAAAGGATTGTCTTCAGCTCTATGAGGAGGCGTAAAGACAGCGGATAAATCTAAGTCTGCTATGGTGTTTAGCGGAAACGTAGCCTTGAGAGATAGAAGTCGAATACTAGATATTCTATAAGTTCCTGAAACCGAAAGCCATCAAAAATATTTAGGGCTTCCATCAATAGTTGGAAAGTCTAAAAGAATGATTTTTGACTCCATTCGCCAGCAGATCTTGAATAAGGTACAAGGGTGGAAAGAGAAACTCCCATCCACGGCGGGGACAGAGATTCTTATCAAAGCAGTTGCACAATCAAGATCGAATGGGCTGGAATTTTGTTTTGTTTCAGTAGTATTGCCTTCCTTTTGAAGTGTATGACATTGCAGCCATACCCATATGCGATCAAATGCTAGAGGCCTGGCTAGTGTGGCATTTTACTAGTCCGGCAGATTTTTCTATCAAGAGTGTCTATCATGTTACTTTGTCTCACAATGGAGTGTCTGAAAGTGGGGTACCAAGCTGTAGCAACACCAACTGGGGAGGGAATTTTATCTGGGCTTTAAACATTCCCAATAAAATCAACAAAAAATTCTTGGAGGGCCATCGACGACATACTTTCCATTCAGTGTAATCTACCGCAGAGAGACATCAACTTATGACTCTTCATACGAAACAAGCGCTCATATTTTTCTCAAATACCCCTTTGCTATAGTGGTGTGGCAATTTGTAGGTATTTCCTTACCTGGAAACATTAATTCATTGCAGAGTGGCTGATGGGAATTTCAGGTGTTGTTCAATCCCCGTAGATGGGTGTGATTATCACTGTGGAGTGGGCATTGTGGTTTAATAGAAATAAAGTGAGCGCTGGAGAAGAAGCTAATCTCCCTTCCTAGATTTTTGATTTTGTGCAAATTTACCACACTCGATTCACAGACTGCTTGAGTTCCAATTGTGTAGTATAGCTCCTAAACAATCCAATTTTATGGTCTTTTACCCCTGAAAGATTTAAGAAAATAAATTTCAATGGAGCTACTTTTGAGGAAAGTAAATGTTCAGGCATTGGCATTATTAATCGAGACTAGCATGGGAATTTTGTAATGGGTTATTGCCGAAAAATCAAAGGTCTATTAAGGGCTGAGCATGCTGAGGCTCTGGCTGCCGCCACAGCAGTCAAAATTGCTACGGAATCAAGTTAAGAAAGAGATTCAAAAGTTATTATTGAGGCTATGAGGCACGGGAAGACTATTTTATCAGAAGAAGGAAAGTTTGTGGATCAGATCAACAGTTATGTAAACAACTTTGCTAGTTTCTAGGCTTTATGGACTCAAGGAAAAGGCACCAACAATGTTGCAACTGCTTAGCTAAATTTGCTTTAGGAGTTACTGATTCTTGTACATAAAGGGGGGTTTCTCCATATTTTTTGTAACCCACCCTCCTACATGTTTCCACATCTTTGCAGTGTTCATCGTTTCATATAAAAAAATAAAAAAAAAAGGACTGCAGTGGTTAAAATTACATGAAAAAAGCGCATTGTGCGGAATTGCTAAGACTGCGGCTATTTTACTTGGTTGCAGTTATGACTTTATTAAAGTTGTTGGGAATGCAACGATTGTTTTGCCAAAGTAGCCAAGATTATAACGATTCAAGAAAGGCTTGACAACGAGAGATTGACTGATTTTATACTACAATTTGCAATAGAATAAGAGATAAAAAAAAATAGAGAAGAATAGATGCATGGATTTATGTGGTTTGGTTTATAAATTTTTCTGCCAATATGCTCACAAGAGCTACCATATATTCTATTGATTCTTAGTTATTACTTATATATGGAACTTGAAATGGCACACAAAAATCTCAAATGAAGGGAGAATATAAATGTTCATTTTCCAATTTCATAATTCATAATCGAAATTACACCACAACCATCACCCATTTATCAGGAGAGAAAGCTCGGCTTGTCCTCTAGAAATGGTTCCCCATCCCTGCCCTACTACGGCCCAAAACAACCTAACCCACCACCGAAATAAGAACGAATAAGAGATGTGACCATAGGAAAAAATGACGTGTTTTAACCACAAGAAAAAAAAAGCATATGGATTAAAAATGGGCATTTGTGCCACGAGGTCACTTGGCTCACCAAAGCTTGGTGACGTGAGGGAGAGAAAAGCCTTGAAATGTTGGCTATAAATAGCCATGTTCCAGGCTATTTGAGCGTCACAACAAAAGGAGAGAATAAGGAGGGAGAAAGGAAGAGATGGAGAAAAAAATCGAAATTTCGATAGTGTGAGTGGTCGATTTCTTGACCAAAAATTTTGGTAAGAATTTCGATAGTGTAACTTTGATCCTCATTAATTATTTTTGGATCAAGTTTGGGTATCATTATTTACTTCGAAAATTATTTTCAAGTTAACTAAGTCATTATTCTCTGTTTTTATTCTAAAATTTTTTTCTGCTTTGTTTTGCCACAATACACGGTACCGATACTAAGTAGACACAGAGGTAGGATTTTCTTTATCTTTTACCGGCATTGATGTATCTCAGGCATATTTGGGGGTTTCATATCAAACCTATTTTAATTATATAATGTAATATTATATTGCATTAATCATGAGG